TTATCATCCTGAAGTGTTGAGTATCTGCATATCTCTCCTTGATGCCAGCACAAAACGAGAAGGGCAGAATAAAACAGGGAAACAAGAGAATGGGAGAAGAGGAACAAAAAAACAGGAGAATGTGTGAAAGAAAATGAGGGGGGTATATACAGATGCTCAGAAGTAGATAAAGGAATACAGAACCAGAGAGAGAGAGAGCAAATGTAGGAGCAAAGGAGCAGGTCAGAAATGCTTGGCAAAAGCTTTCTATTTTGAGATAAATGGACTGCATTAGGAATACAGTAGTACACATAGAAGCTTCTTTTAAACCTACATGTTTGCTTCATATCTGTGCCATGAAGATTAAAAGGCAATTAATTTTTTTTTTCTAGGAATGAGAAAACTTCAAGCAGGTGGCAAAAATAACTAGTTGAACCAGGCTTGGACTAATTGAAGAAAATGTTCCACTTTTGCATTTAATTATCCCTCGTAAACATGTTCATTACCAAAGAGCAGCCTTCAAGGAACTTTAAAGGGCTTTTATTTTTTAGTTTTAATTTCTTGCATAATTTTGCATGTTGTTTTTTTTTAGAAATATGTAGATTTTTATTCAGGTAGTGTAACAATACTTTATGGAATTACCTTGATAAAGTAGCCCCATCCTTATATCTAAAATTACCTTATAATTTAAAGTCAATCAACCCGTTTAACTCCCCTCCTAACTTGAAAGAGACTCAATGAATTCACTTAAAAACATAAATCTCTTGGCAGAGACAGAATAAATTAAGAATTCTACAAATACGTCTGTAAACAGTTATCCCCCTTTTCATTACAAGTTTTCATAGAAAGTATTAACAGATATCACCTTCCTATCAACCTTACTCAACTCTCTAACACTTTTACGGTTTCACATTTATAAATTTGAATTGTTAGCTTTTAAGAATTTGAAATAATTTCCGTGTGCCACATCAGTTTTAAAAATTAGGTAATTATCTAGGTATCAGAATCCCTTAAGATCCCAAACTAGGTTGATTTTTGAATCATTATGAAGAAACCTGAAAGAAAAGTCTGTGGTTACAAATGGTCTTAAAAAGAGAGAACCTTATAAATGAAAGCAGAGGGCATTTTGGTTGTTAACTTGCTAAATTTATGCAGTAAACTAAAATTGAAAACATCAAACTCTCTACATTAGGAGGTAACATTATGAATAATTGTGAATCTGGAGAACTTAAATGTCATTTTCCTTCTTGTTATTAAAGTTGTGCATTAGGAAAGATAAACATTGATAACAGAAAATAACATAAAAGTTATACTGTATTACGTTGTTAAGCAGTTGAACTTTATTTTTTTATTAATTAGGTTCTGTTTTTTTTTTATTTCAAAGGTCCCCTCTCTTCCTCTTTCTCCTGCATCTTCTCCATATATTGATTATATCTACCATCTTTGTGCAGTGCTGTTGCAAACTGCCTCCACCTTTAGACAAAAATCCTAATTGCTTTTTAAAACTCTCCATGTCAGCAGCACTTTTTAATGCTGGTGTTCACACAACCTTCGCAGATCACCTGCAAAGGCAACTAATTGCACCTATTATATATGACTGCACAAACTATTTAGGTTTTTACTTGATCTTGCCTTTTGTTTTTCCTTATCAGCTGACTGATAAATAAGGAAATGTTTTCTAATATGACTGATTATAACAAACTGAGTGCAAGCCTAAATAAGACATTCTGTGTTTTATGTGAATCTGAAGTTACATGATGAGTTCTTTTCACCCTGCCCTTTTATTTCTTCAGTAAATACCAGTTTTCATTCTCTGAAGATCAGCTTCCCTTGGACTATTTCTCCCTTTGCCAAAGATATTTATATTTTAGTTCAACACTTACTTGAGAAGAAAGGCAAAGGTGCATTCAAAACAAAAGGCTGCTTATTATATCTACAAAGCTTTAGGACCTACAATGAAAACATGTATATGTGTGATTTAGTTAAGATGCAAATAAAACATGAAGGTCAAGCACAAAATTTGTAACAAAAAAAGGTCAAATGGACTGTATATATTGAATACAGTGTTACATTAAACTCAGATGTTAAAGACTTGTTTTTTTGTAGTGCAAAATCTAAAATAAATCAATCAATGGTGATGCTTTTCATTCAGCGAGCTTTTTAAGAGTAGCAGTCAACCCATTCCAACCCTGGAATGTCCAAAATATAACTAAAGTAGATTGGCCAGCAGGACAAATAGAGCTAAAATGTTATGATGCACTCTGTCAAAGGTAAAAAAAAACAACAACTTGTTTTCACATTTTGGCTGAGGAGAACAAAAAAAAAAACTCTTAGAAAAGGCTTAGATTTGACCAAAGAACCAATAAAAACAACACTTTCGCAGTTTGAAAATACAAATATATAATTACTGTCATCCACATTTGAGTAGATCTAAGTATGAAAGACGTGTAAAACAATATCACAGAGCTTTTAAATATCCTTATGGTGATCTAATGTTGACGAAACCAATATTTTTAATGAAAGGGGGGAAAAACATTCCAGTAGTAATCAAATAAATATATTTTAAATAAATAAATAATCTGCAGTGTCATTACATATCAAAGTACGGTTTTATTTAAGCTGCTTTTGAATATATTACCACCTTTGTTGTCCTTTGCATAACCTTTCTCATGTTTCTGAGCAACAAACCAAACTAAATATTCAATAATGTCTAACTTTATTCACAATTACATATTCAGCTAGACTTGGTAGTACAATAATTCTGAATGTAACCCGAAATACAATATTGCTGATCCTCAGTTTGTAGACTGCTAAAGAAAAAGTAGAACATTAACCCTTAAAATAGGATAATGCAATGATCTTAATTATAAACAGGAGAATAGGGAATCTATACTACATTAACCTTTGTTACTCTCAAAACGCTAGATGGCTGAAATAACTTTGGCTAGTCATTTTAGACTACAAAATAAAACAATTACCTTATAGCCCAAAACAGACGGAGGTGTAAAATACCTTAGATTAAATACTTTGTTAATGTAGTTACTTTTTTCAGTACCTGTACTTTTGCTCCCTGCATTTGAACACAAATATCTCTACTTTCTACTCCTTACTTTCTCACAGCTGTCTCTTTACTTCCATATAAATTGATAAAATGACCTAACAGCTGCAACAAAAAGGGAAAAACCAAAAAGAGAATGTACTCAGTTGGGGCCCAGTGTGTTTATGGAAAAATCCTGATAGCTATATAAATGAAGACAGGGGGCTGGGAAACATGGCCGAGAACAGAATAAGATTTTGAGACGCAAAACATTCTCCATCTTCATAAGATTTTAGATTAATATGTTTATTAAGTTTTGAGTTCTGTTTCAATTTTAATGATATTTGCAAGTTTAATGCTGTGAATATAAGAATTTTCAAAGTATTCAGCTGCACATGCAGGATCTCTGTTCAGTTCTAACTATGTTATCCTGTTTGAAATTTTAATTTAGAACAAAAATAGACCGAGATAGGACTTTTTTGTTTTCTTTACAAACACAAGTGAGCAAAGGGGAAAATTAACATATTTTCTATTACAAAAAAACTTTTTTTTTTAAGTATATAGTTTTTAAAGTTATTTTGTATCATTAAGGACAAAAACTTTCTTTTACTTTTGTACTCAATTACAATGTAGAACCTGAACTTTTTTCACTTTAGTCAAGTGAAGAATCTGAGTACCTTTTACATACACTATATTGCCAAAAGTATTTGCTCACCTGCCTTGACTCACATATGAGCTTAAGTGACATCCCGTTCCTAATCCATAGGGTTCAATATGACGTCGGTCCACCCTTTGCAGCTAGAACAGCTTCAACTCTTCTGGGAAGGCTGTCCACAAGGTTTAGGAGTGTGTTTATGGGAATTTTTGACCATTCTTCCAGAAGCGCATTTGTGAGGTCGCACACTGATGTTGGACGAGAAGGCCTGGCTCTCAGTCTCCGCTCTAATTCATCCCAAAGGTGTTCTATCGGGTTGAGGTCAGGACTCTGTGCAGGCCAGTCAAGTTCATCCACACCAGACTCTGTCATCCATGTCTTTATGGACCTTGCTTTGTGCACTGGTGCACAGTCATGTTGGAAGAGGAAGGGGCCAGCTCCAAACTGTTCCCACAAAGTTGGGAGCATGGAATTGTCCAAAATGTCTTGGTATGCTGAAGCATTCAGAGTTCCTTTCACTGGAACTAAGGGGCCAAGCCCAGCTCCTGAAAAACAACCCCACACCATAATCCCCCCTCCACCAAACTTTACACTTGGCACAATGCAGTCAGACAAGTACCGTTCTCCTGGCAACCGCCAAACCCAGACCCGTCCATCAGATTGCCAGATGGAGAAGCGCGATTCGTCACTCCAGAGAACGCGTCTCCACTGCTCTAGAGTCCAGTGGCGGCGTGCTTTACACCACCGCATCCGACGCTTTGCATTGCACTTGGTGATGTATGGCTTGGATGCAGCTGCTCGACCATGGAAACCCATTCCATGAAGCTCTCTGCGCACTGTTCTTGAGCTAATCTGAAGGCCACATGAAGTTTGGAGGTCTGTAGTGATTGACTCTGCAGAAAGTTGGCGACCTCTTCGCACTATGCGCGTCAGCATCCACTGACCCCGCTCCGTCAGTTTACGTGGCCTACCACTTCGTGGCTGAGTTGCTGTCGTTCCCAAACACTTCCATTTTCTTATAATACAGCTGACAGTTGACTGTGGAATATTTAGGAGCGAGGAAATTTCACGACTGGATTTGTTGCACAGGTGGCATCCTATCACAGTTCCACGCTGGAATTCACTGAGCTCCTGAGAGCGACCCATTCTTTCACAAATGTTTGTAAAAACAGTCTGCATGCCTAGGTGCTTGAATTTATACACCTGTGGCCATGGAAGTGATTGGAACACCTGATTCCAATAATTTGGATGGGTGAGCAAATACTTTTGGCAATATAGTGTATCTCAATACACTTGTATGGTAAAGAAAGAAACTAAACAAAAACTCACCTTGATAGGTTTCCCATCAGGCGTCAGTACTTCCTCAGAAAGCTCCATCATTTTAAGAGCCATTTGTGCAATTGGTTTTGCATGGCTATCAACCTTCTTATGAAGTCCGCCTGCCACACAGTAGGCATCCCCGATTGTTTCAATCTGTATGGAAGAGTGAGGAAAAGCAAGAGATGAACAATAACCTTTTTACCAAATGGTTGCAGCATTGATCATTTGCATACTGTATACAGTGAATCACTAGAGCTGAAAATAAAACACAATCCTTGACCCACATTAAGAAATCATGTTTGTTTTCAGGATTTACAAAACTAGTTTATTAGAATCATAGATCATCTTATAGGCCTGTAATCGAACATCGGATTCCTAGGAGTCTGTAACACCTGTTTTCTAAGTTTGACATATATTTGTCTCTAATTTTGTCTATAATTTACAACTGCTTAGTTTTAAAATAATAATAAAAAATAAAACACGTTACAATTTACTGTATTTTTCTTATGCTTGGAAATATTGAAAATGCAATCTTAAAACAAGAGAAAAGGCAAAACAAATATTCCTGATATATAGAACAGACCATATTTGTTGGAGGACAAAGCATCACATGACGGACATTGTTAACACACATAGGAAGTGGTACATTGAATTGTGTTGAAACATCAAAGAGACCTTTAACTGGGAGTGGTGGCCTAGTGGTTAGAGCAGTGCGCTTGTGCTCTGAGAAGTTTGCAAGTGCCCGGTTTGATCCCCACAGCCTGCACACTGTGCAAGGCCCTTAACCCCATATTGCTCCCCGGGCGCCCCACAATGGCAGCCCTTTGCTCCCCAAGGGGATGGGTTAAAATGGAGAGATACATTTCTCCAATGTGAGATCAATAAAGTTCAATTATTATTAACTTAAACTCTGCGTAGTTTTAGAAGTGACAACATTTTACAAACAACATTTCTGAGGAAGGTCACTGATTGCCTTTTCTTGGAGCAGTGGATGATCCTTTGCAATCCCTTTAGCCATCACAACTGAAGTTATTTCATTGATCATTTTTAACCTTATGAAAAAGGGACACAAGGCTAAAAATGACTTAACCTAAGGAGGTTTGGAGCTAGCATCATATTTGACACTCATTTTCAACTTCAAGTTTAAGTCTGCATCCCACTAGATGCTGCATGAAAAAACCCAAGAATTTAGCTCTCTTACTTTCTGAGCCATCCCAACAAACCTTCTTTCCAGATTAGAGAACATTCTTCCTTGGGGACAATAAACATTTTCTCTTCAAAGGGAGGTATAGCACACTGCAATGGGTGGGATCTGTTCTTCTATTAGTCTGATTCTGATTAATTAGCATTTTGACCAAATCATACCTAATTTTCTAGCTCTTCATTTCCTTCATACTTTCATCTTACAACCATCAACAAATGATTTTTCCCCATATAAACTATTGAACATTGCACTATTATTTTCTTTACTTGTATTTTATGTACTAATAAAGATAAATCATTTGTGAGAAATTCAAATCTCCTACATATTTTAATGAAATGAAAATATTTTCTGCAAACTTTGGATTAAACAGTATTGTTACTGACTTTCAAGGTTCTTTAGAGTCATAAGAACACATTGCCTTACATTAGAGTAGGAGCAACAAATATATAATGCTCTTTAAACTTCCGATATATGATATAAAATTACATAAAGTCAGCATAAACGTCCTCTGTTGTGTTGCTGGCCGCATTTTGTACTCAATTATTTTTTGGCAAATGACAACCAATGCCATAAGAGGTAAACTGACCATCCCTGTCCATCTCCAGGTTATGTTAACTGTATCTATTAGCACATCTTTCTTTTTCCAGGATATTTATGTGTTCTTATTGAAAAATAAAAATAACAGATTAAAAATGCATAGATTAATCTTTTTTTATATATCATTTTGTCAACATAAGTTGATATCTTTAACTTCTGTTTTCCTTTGAATCAAAGCACAATGTCCAATTTGTCTGTAACACTAATGGAAACTGTTCTATCACAATCAAATTGTAATGATAAATTATTAGGAAAGAAATAGGTTTTCTAAATACAGCGTTTTATCTTCATAATGCTAGCATACATGTGGCATTTGGAAAAAAATGACATGTTCTTTTCATCTTTTACCAAAAAAAAAAAAAAAAAAATATTTGCTAATTAATCTATTATACATAAGAAAAAAGCAGGTTAGCAATCAATACTGCTCACAGTCTGTGTAAAAAATAGCTTTTCAACAGACAACCTAGAAAAAATCTGGAATAAAACCTGCTCTCATTAAAGTCTGCCACAGGCTAAATCATTTTAACAGTAACCATGACAATGGCGACATATGGGTGATTCACTCTCCTCTTGCGTCCTCCTGTTCCTGCTTTCTGTTTGACACACAAACCAACTCCTCTATCGCAACACTCAGAAAACATCCTTATCACAGCCACCGTCTCCCTTCTTCTCAGCATTTTGTCTTCCCATCTCTCACCATATCTGCTATGTCACATATTTGACAGCCTATACACGAGGAGTCCATTTTTATAGGAAAGTCAGAGGAAAATGTCAGAAAGGTGTCAGAATCTTAGTCAAGCCTAAAGCGAACGGCTATTATTCACTTTGCCAACACACATCTACACACAAATGTGCTCATACAAGCAAAAACATTGACTTTCAAAAGTATTTTGGTGACTTTATTCTGGCACTTCAAAATCAAACTGAATGATTTCCACCAGAACTAAACTAATTAGTACCTAAAGGTCCACCTGTGTAAATGTAATTGCAATATAAACAAAGCTGTTCTGTGAAGGCTTCAGAGATTTGTAAAAAAAAAAAAAAAAAAAACTTGAATGAAGAAACAGCATCATGAAGAACAAGGAACACAGCAGACCCTGTGTGTAGTTGTAAGAAAATTGAAAGCAAGGTTATGCAAGGGTGTAGGTTTGATCTCAACTTTGGTAGGGACACTATTGGTCTTAAAGGGATAGTTCGGGATTTTTGACATGAATCTGTATGGCATCCCCATCACCAGTGTCATGCAATCACACTGACTTACCCCTGGCAGCATCCTGTGAGCAGAGTTCTCGTCCAGCTTTGGTCAAGCCGAAAGTAGTCCGGCAGGTTTGCTAGACCCAGCGAAATAAAACGTTTCTCTTCCCAAAACATTATGTGTTCAAAAGAGTGATATTTTTGCATCCCAAAAACATTGTAGTGGAAAAAGTCACACGTCGTTATCACTTGGTCCTATTTTCTCTCTGTTCGTATCAGTGCGCGCCGTCATTCTGACAGCGAGCTCAACTTTGAGGAGGGCAGGGAAGTCGCTGTTGTTTGTGATGCAGACAGCAGCTGCTGCAACTCCGGCATCCTCATCAATGGAAAGGTTCTGTATCTCGGGCATTACTAAATCCCACTCGTGGCAACAGTAGCATCCACCTCTGTCTGCATTAATTTGTACTTGAAACAAGTGCACCATGATTTGTCGGCCACCCTGGATATCGCAGCTCCAGCTGAGGCTCCTGCGGCTCCGGCTTCAGCTTCCATCACTTCTCTGTCCACCCTCTCTCTTTCTGCCCGATCTAACTCCATTTGTCGAAGTTCATCGTCAGTGTACTCGGGTTCATAAAGATATCCCTTTGGCTCTAAGTGGAAGTCGATGTTTTCCTCGTCGCTCTCGTAGTCAGACATCTTCCCCAGTAGTAAACAATCGCGAATCAAACAGGTAGGCCCTTAACCTGACAACAGCCAGATGCATGCCTCGCTCCGCCCAGCTAGGCGGAGCGAGGCATGCATCTGGCTGTTGTCAGGTTAGTAGGCCCTAGCTGTCAGGTCATGGTGTCGCGCGCACTGATACGAACAGAGAGAAAATAGGACCAAGTGATAACGACGTGTGACTTTTTCCACTACAATGTTTTTGGGATGCAAAAATATCACTCTTTTGAACACATAATGTTTCGGGAAGAGAAACGTTTTATTTCGCTGGGTCTAGCAAACCTGCCGGACTACTTTCGGCTTGACCAAAGCTGGACGAGAACTCTGCTCACAGGACGCTGCCAGGGGTAAGTCAGTGTGATTGCATGACACTGGTGATGGGGATGCCATACAGATTAATGTCAAAAATCCCGAACTATCCCTTTAAGTTGAATTGGTCTGATGTCATTGGTCCTACTTATTATGCATGCTCCTATTTTTTTTTATACTTGATGTGAGCATCAGGGTGCATTTCATTTAAAGAGAAAACTGCATTTTTTTTGCTACATTTATACACATATTATAAGCACTACACTCAGAATATATGCTGTTGATCAATGTTTGAAGCATCAGTGGCTCAGAATAATGTAAAATTGGGAACACTTAACACTTTGAAAAGGGTTACATTTGAACTTACCAGTGACTAAGACAGAAGGTAAATACGTGCCTTTTTAAACCAAATATAGTCTAAATATGTCTGTTGTTTATGTATTTATCGGGTGTTTTCTTTTGAAGAATAGAATTGTGCAGCGGCAAACAGAGGTAAAACCCACTCTTATTTTTTTTAATCTGATATGCTGATATTCTCTGTATTGTAAAACAAAGCAAAATAACATATTGAAGGGACTGCAAATAGATTTATTGTATTTACGTGGACGCGGGGACTATAAGAGGAAATGACACTGAGCATTTAAAATATTAACTTCAATATACAAGTTGTGAGAAAAGAAGCGCCTGCTGCAACAACACTGTATTGTAAATTATAAACATGTCTTTCACATAAAATTATTAGTAGGGACAAGTAGGTGGGGCCAAAAGTTTGGTAGGGACATGTCCCTATGGTCCCTATGCAAACCTACGCCCATGAGGTTATGATTTAAAAACAGGGTTCCAGGCTTTGAACATCTTATGGAACGCTGTTCAATAAAGTTTTCAAAATTAGAAAATGAGTGGCATAACCTCTATTATTCAAGAAAAGGATGCGTAGAAAAACTGACGGGTTTAGCAAGGAGAACATAAATCAGCGAAGCAGCCGTGAAGCAAATGATAACGGCAGAGGAGCTGTAGAGTTCCACAGCTGAGGTCAACTAGAATTCAAGGACTCTAAAAATCTATCCTGTAGGGTTGGATGGCAGGATGTAAACAATAGTTGAGAGAAAGCTGCAGTGGAATGTTATGCATATTTGTCACCTCCCTTTTTATGTTACGGGTCGCAGGGGCAGCAGTCTCAGGAGAGCCCCCCAAACTTCCCTCTCCCCAGATGCCTCCTCCTGCTCTGCTGGGTGGAGCCCAAGGCCATACCAGGCCACCCTAAGAGGCACAAGTCCTCCGAATTTCCTTGGTCGTTCCCTGAATCTCCTCCCAGTTGGACGTGCCTTGATCACCTCCCAAGGGAGGCATCCAGGAGTTTTTCTGGTCGAAAAAGACCAACCTGACCTTGGCTTATATTTAAAATGCAACAAACAATACAAATTAAATGCTGCACAAAAGCGTCATCACTATACTGAAACATGATGGCAGCATCATGCTATAGAGACTCCCTTCTTTAGTAGAACAGGGGAGCTGGTTAATAATTATAATAAAATGAAGGGAACAATACAGAGGAAAAATACCTCCATTTCAGATGGAGGATCATTGTTCATCAGAACTACTTAAAACATGCAGCAGTTGCTGTGATGAAATAGTTCTTTAGATCAAAGTAAATGTGTGTGTTAGAATTGTCAATATCTGGACCTAAAAGTAGAAGAGAATTCATCAAAAAAGCAAAGATGTTAAAAAGCATTTTCAATTTTGTCTGAATCGCACTTCCTTTGCAATGAAAAAACAAAAAGAAAAAATGTAAGCATATGTGCAAAAGTGTTACAAACACACACTTAAAGGCTTGCATCTGCGGTTTGAGCTAAATCTGGTTCAAGAGTAGCAAAATAAGAAAGATGAATAAAACTCATCACAAACTTTAAATTCTGCTGATTAAAAACATTCAGAAAATATGTTAAATTTAATCAGATTGTATTTGTGGTTACACTGGTATAAGTTGTGGTAGACAAAGGATTTAAAGGGATTAAATACCAACATGTTTAATACCTTCCTCCAATGACCCTATTTGAAGTTGCATGTTTCCATCCACTGACCTTATAAACATCCAGAATGCCACACTGGTAGTCAAAGCGAGTGTAGAGCTCGTTCAGCATTGAGATAACCTGCATAGGTGTGCAGTGGGCACACACAGCAGTAAAGCCCACGATGTCGGAGAAAAGCATGGTGACATCATTAAATTTACGCGCTGGCACTGGCTGACCCTGCCACAGCTTCTGCGCCACATCACCCGGAAATATGGAATAGAGGAGATCCACTGTCCTCCTTTTTTCTTCCTCCAGAGCTTGATGAGTCCTCTCTAAGGTAGCCTGAGAGAAAAGGGAGGGAGATCAGGAGACTGGAAGACATAAATGCTAGCAGTAATGCATCAAATAAAAACATGCCACCTTATGCAGATACGGTTATTGGGCATTTATTTTAAGATATGTAAGCTGTTTGTAACCTGCCTACAGCTCCAATGCTTTAGTAATGTTCAAGCATGTTTAGTATGATAAAGCTATTTATAACTCAGGCCTGAGGGAGTGGTTGCAGAGACAGAGATGGATACAGAAAGGATCCACTGAGTTGTTACAATAAGCTCTGAAGCCAGTTTGTGATCTTTAAAGCCAAAGATCACAACCCTTCTAAGAATAAATGTCAAGAGAACAGTTCTGCTCATAAAGAGGTGATTAATATGTAGGATGCAGAGAGCTGCAGTGAGATTTGAATCCTTTTAATTGATATTACTGAGATTTCAACCAATGTAAAAGAAAAATTGTCTTCCTTATCCACACAACTAACACTAAATGGAAAGAACAAATGATCCTTTATCACTATTTCTAGAAATCCACATTGAGAGCTGCAGCATAAATATATGATACATGCTGTCCCTGAATTTAATCAGAGTGGTTATCAAGATGAAAAAAAAGCAAAACAAATGCAGTATAAGGTGTGCAACATTTAAAAAATATACATATAGCAAAGCTCATAGACAATAATAATATTTATAACTTTTTTGCAAGGACCAACTGTTTAAGTCTAAATCATTCAACTCTCATTTCAGACATAAAAACTGTACTAGCTTTGTTTATTAGATGAAGAACACTTGCATGCTTGTCACATAGTCTCAGCAAGTTAAAAGTCTCCTTTGTTACTAGAAGCCTAAAACTGGAGTTGTATTTTACCTTTAATTTGTCCATTCTTTTCTTTAGGCCATCCTGGGCCTTGGCTTGCTCTCCTACCAGGATAACATCTCGAGTGGCATCATGGATGGGAATGTCTGACAGATGGAGACCCCTGCCCATCAGCTCCTCTAGCTTATCAACTCGCGGAGAACCCAGAAACATCAAGGAACAGGACTCAGGGACATGGATCATCTGACCCTTTAGCTCCATAACCTGACAGGAGAAACAACGAGAGAAAGAATGAAAGAAATACCTTTACTGAACCTTGGTTACTACAGTACAAATATAGTATTGTGATTTGTGTTTAATATAAACCTCTCATTATAAAAAAAAACATTGAGGTTAGGAATGACTGTTAAAACCGTTGTCTTACAACCTTTTGACATGTTAAAGTAACAAAAGAATTCCTTTTTTTTTATAAAATACACTTGCATTAACATGCATATAATACCGTATTTAAACACCTCCTATGTTTTTATTCTTTAAAATCTTTATATTTCTTTTTATTGTTTGGAGATGAAGGATTGCTGTGCGATAATAGTTTGAGCTAAATGGATAAATTGTCCATAAACCTCATTGAAAAATAACAATGATCGTAAGCATTTAAACATATGTATGACTCAAAAGGAGGTGTGTAATTTTCAAAGCATATTGCAGATGCTCCCTCTGATGGAAGAGTCAATCTGGCTGTTTGATTTTTGAGAGAAAATGTTACCAAAACAAGGTATTTTTAAAAGCACTTTTGGCTCGTGTAACCTTGACATCAAGCCGAATTGTTGTGGTTTTACTGCCTTCACAAACTTGAGAATCCATCCTGACCTGATCCCACTTCAACGAGAACGATCCAAAATGGGTTAGCCAATTACTTTGCAGTGAAAAAACATGGCAGAACAGGAGGACGAACATGTAGCTGCTCACATCTGCTTTTTCAGCATCCACAATTTCATCTTTGAAAGAGGGACATCAACAGCATAAAACATTAGTTTTTGTGGTTTCTCACAGCGTCTGCTGCTATTCCATTTGTTACTGTGATTGGGTAGAACCAAACTTTGGTAGGGGTGGCTGGGCACTAGGTGTCACTTTGCCCAACAGCTCAGAAGGTTCTGCTGAATATCCCTCCTCTCCCACACCAGATTCAATCAAAGCAGTCTCAAATTGGTAATGTTCAGACTGAAAGTGCTGCATTATATCAATCTGGCTTGTCAGGTTATGTCTTGAGCTTCTCTTAGAAATGTAGAATAGACTTTATCAACATATTGTCCCAAGAATCCAGAGAACTTTCGGACTTTGTTCAGCCCTTCCAAATAGAAGCCTAATAGCTGGAAATGGTATGGATGCAATGCTGCAGCAGACCAAGAGCAACATCACACTGCAAGAGGCAGCTTCACACTGAAAGCAAGTGTCTTTCTTCAGTAGACAAGAATAACTAATAATTCATATTAAATGAATAAACCCTGTAGTGCCAAAGGCAATCTCTTATTATGTCTAAAGTTAACTTTGAAAGACCTTCAACCATGGACTTCAGCTTAGAAATGGCTTAGATTTTCTTTTTTTTCCTCATCTGTACGTAACCTTTTTTAAACTGGGGCATGAAGTGTTTCTTTGTTACATCTTTTTTCCTACTTCATGTTGTCAGAGAGGTTCCACCTATGTAGCTTCTTAATTACACGTCTCTGGGAATAACCAAGTATGGATGTGGCTACTTAAAAACATACACACAATGTGTCATTGTTGGTTTATTTATAGTTTACTAAGGTGGGATAAATATTTTTCACAAAGAGCCAAGTAGTTTTGCGTACGTTTTTTTTTTCTTGTAATTAATTAAATCCAAAATTTTAAACAGCATTTTAAATCGACCCAGATTTTTTTTTGTCTAATATTAACTTTAATTCAATTACATAAAACATTTAAGACTGAAAAAAGGAAAAAAAAAGAAATTAAATTAGATTTCAAAGCACTGTACAGTAAACATATGAAAAAGATCAAATCAGGTCAAATGGAAAATCAGATTCTGGTCACCTCCCTGGTAATCTTGCATCCTCTCACTACTGCAGGTTTCCCTCTGTTCTCTGTCAGCACATATTTTTCTTGTAGAAAACTGTCAAGTAGAAAACAATTTTCTTGTTTCTGGTGACTTTTTTTAACAAACCCATATAGTGAAATATATTTTCAGAGCTGGTTAAATATCTGTAACAGAAGTATACAGAGCTAAAACTAAAGAAACAATTCCCAAAAGACAAAGATGAAATAGATACAACATGTAAACCATCTTTGTAGTACTTTCCTTTCTTTAATCATCTCGTTCTGTTTAAAATCATATTGGTTTCTTTCTATCCAAGCTCCTTTCTCCATCTCCTTCATCCCCTCTATCAGGCTTTCTCCATAGTGTCAGATAGATTATTCCGCAAGTAAGCACGCTGCAGCCCTGTTTTATTTATAGCACAAGTCTCCTATGTCTGCATAAAACATACAGTATTCATCTAAGTCTGCAGAGTATTTTCTCTACAAACATTTTTTTAGAAATCTTTTAGAAAGGTAACATGCATGTAGCATAATTACATATGAGGCTTCCAACCCCCAATGAATGAGTTGACCCAACCCCATGAATCCAACCTGCACCTAGACCCCTACAGAAACGAGAACTGAGAATCATTTTAACCGACTTCAGTGATTGTACTTGCAGTACCTGAGTTTTAGGAAGGATTTCCCAGAACAATGCAGGCTCCAAAGCACAAACATGTCAGAAACATATGCTGACACAAGCAAACTGCCGCCTGAGCAGCTGTTTCAGGAGGTTGTGTCTGGCCGAGTGGGAGGGCCACACATCTTATATACTAAAAGCCATCACCATGGCAACTGTGAAATCAGGGGAGCCACACAAAATGAAAAACATTCTCTAATGCTGTCTGGGAAATAAATTAGCTCTCTCTGTCTTAAAATGTTTTCTTGTGTTGGTCTTTGGAACATAAAAGGATAAAAACTGCTGTGGTTTTCCTGCAGTTCTTCAAAAAACACTAACGTACATTTACCTAATAGGATGCAAATCACAGCAAAATTTAATTTGTGTTGAAGAACATATATATATAATACGTTTCAGCCAAGAGGTTAAAATGTGTTATAAGGTTTTGATCAGTACAAATCTATAGCCTAATTGAAGACTTTCTTTTTTCTATAATAAGTTGTTCTATTGTTCTCTGATAGGCAGAAAAAATAATAATAATGGAATTTCAGCTGATACTAAGGTAGGCAGGAGTCAAGAGATGTAAACTCTTGATTAATGCTTCTCTGTTAGCACTCTTTGTAAGGCAAGGCAAGGAGACTTTATAAATACAGCACATTTTAGTGGCAATATGATTGAAAGTGCTGCACATGAGAAATAAAGACAAGAAAATACATTGCAGTGGTATGGAGGCAATACAAATATTTAAAAATAAATTAAGTAAATCATTAGAACATCACGGTTATATAAAAAACATAAAATGATTGATACAAAAATGAAAGAAAGTTGGACTGGAAACTTTAACTATGTTCAGATAATACGGTCACAGACCACTTTAAACAAATGCGTTTTTAATCTTGCTTGAAAGCAACTGTCCTTCATGAACACATTAAGTCAGGGGAGGTTATGTTGCCTCCAGCCCGATTTTAATGAGAGGAAAACTTCAAAAACTCTTATCATTTGTAGCTTTTTGGACGTAACTGCACATGTTTATGGACAAAATCAGCTACTCTAAGTCTGAGGCCATGGTTCTCATGCAAGAAAAGATGCAACAGTGTCTGCCTACAGCGAAGGAGAAGAAGTATCTTCTATCGAGTGATGGTAAGATGGTATGACAGACAGACCAATCAGGGCTTTTGTTTGCAGGAATGAAGGCACTGCTTTGATTTGTTGTTGTAAAGAAAGAGCCGAGCCAAAGAGCCAAGCGCTCAATTCATGGATCAGATTACATTCAGAATCTCACCTCTGGTTGAGAGATATGGACTATGACCAAAAAAAGAGATCATAGATACAAGCAGGTGAAATTAGATTCCTTTTCAGGCTGGCCTGAGTCTTGGCGATAGGTTGTGGAGTTCACTGATCCGAGGGAAGTTCAAAGTGGAGATGTTGTTTCTCCACGTCCAAAGTAGTCAATTTAGGTGGTGGCATCTGAACATGATGTCTCCTCCCAGTACATACCACTGGGAGTAGACCCAAGGGAAGACCCCAAACTAGCTAAAAAGACCAAACATCCCACCTGGCCAATGACTGGGATTCTTGGGGTTTAATGTTATAACTGTTCAACCTACTTAATGATCTTGAGTAAGCAGAAGAAAATGGTAGGATAGATGCAAAACCAGCATTAATTATTAGACAATGCCGGATTGCCAAGTTTGCAGACTATAGATTTTTTGTCACATGGCAACTGGGAAAAGGTAATGAGGATGCTCAAGGGCTGTCACAGAAGCCCCTGGACGTTCAGGAAATGGAACCAGAGGTAATCATTCCTATCATGCAATCAGTTCACCTGACATCCCGTAACAAATGGAAATAGCTGATCCAAGAAGTCATAATACCAACATGCATTGATGAAGACTATTAACAAATAACGCATCCAGTGATAGAATTATTAGCAGAGGATCTCACAAAGACACACCAAGAGAATTCAGCCATTAGCAAGGTGAGTTAGTTTGCGAGAGCAGTTGTCTCAGCATTGCAGAACGATTCGCATTGATGGCATATTTTTGTCCATAAATAAGTCACCTAATAATGAAGGCCTCCAAAGAAGCTCAGCTGATGCTTCCAAAGGTATTCCACCACCAATACACAAAGAACTACATAAAGAAATGTGACATCTTTCCATTGAAATGACAATAAGCTTGATTTGTGATTCAATTCCACTGGCCATAGAAGAAAAAAGGATATGACTGAGGTTTGTAGAAAAAGTTTAGAAGTTCAATATACAAGTATCAAGCAGAACCTTATGGTAACCACCCCTCTCAGTCAGATAACAATTCTACACTGATCCTGCTGAATCCTATCATAATAATGTTCACAGGATTCTGATTACTTATGTCCATGTAAAGGTAGCTACTCCTTCCTTTCAACTGCAGTGTTGTACAGGAGGATATGAGTTCAGTCTTGTCGTTATCGACCACTTTACTTGCTTTGATTACGTACTTCCATAAAGTAAACAAAAACTGTAGTAGAATTTTTTTCAGACACTTTACCTAAA